GTTAAAACATTAATGCTTTGTTATAATTACTTTACTATGAATTTATTTTTATCTTAATTATGATTTTATTTTAATTATACATATAATTAGTTAGATTATACTTAAGACTCAAAATGTAGAAAATTTTTCAAAATGTAAGAAAATGATGAAAAAAGAAAAAAATTTAGAAGAATAGAAACGCGTTTAGCTCGCAAAGCACATTACTATTTACATTTGTCTCTATTTTCAGATAGATCTACGAAATCAGACATTCTTTTATCTTTTATTACGTAAGAAATAAAAGCAATATTTATTTTGTTAATTATTCACTTTTTAAAGAATACAATATGGAAAAAGATCACGGTTCAGTATTCAAGTTGATTCTTATTATTTGAGTCTTAAGTATAATCTAACTAATTATATGTATAATTAAAATAAAATCATAACTAAGATAAAAATAAATTCATAGTAAACTAATTATAACAAAGCATTAATGTTTTAACATTATTTGTAAATACTAGTCAAGAATTTGATACAAGTGAGCGAAGCGCGCGCGCCGGCCCTGAGCGCCACTTACACCAGAACGCCTATTGGTTTACTTCAACCTGCTCTCCTTCAAAAACTACTTATCGCACGCAATTTTGCGTTCTAAAGGAAAAAGTTATTTCTTTTAGCCTAAAGTATCACGCCTTATACTCCGTGGGCGCGAATTTAGGGACACCCTGTATATCACGATATAGAGATATAGTAAATGTAGATTATTGGATCCCAAATGAAAAAGATATTTTAATAATACATAAAAGATAAAATATTGTAAAGTAACAGAATAAAAAATTATAGACAAAATAACATATAAATATACCTGATATTTAAATTCAAAAAGTATGATATAACACATTATATCACATAAAATGGATTGGTATTGAGATGTAATATTTCCTCCATGTTCATTTATTAGTATCAGAGAATTACCGAAAGCTGTTTTTGATAATATTTCCTTTAAATTAAATTCCACTGTTTTTAAATTTAGTCTTCTTTTCTCTACAGGTGGTTCATGGTAATATTTCTTTATTTTCGACTAAAGAATTATTCACATTTTGACAGTTATCGCTAATCTTCTACAATAGCATTCTCAGGTTTTGTTGGAAGATTTATTAAATCAACAAGAATTGAATTATTTATATTATCATTCTCTGTCTAAAACTTGAACAATCAAAGTCGACTATTTTATTGCGAATCTGTAAAAATAATTCAATTTTTATTATTTTTCCATTTTATAATTACGCTGATTAAAAATAGTAGCAAATAGAATCAGTTTAATTACATAATAATTAATATAAAAAATAGAGAAAAAATATATAAATAGAGAAAACATACATTGTATTCATTGAAATGTCTGCGTAGTTTCAATCGATTTAAAACGTTGGGAATCAATTTATTGAAATCGGACGAATTACATTCGTTTAAAAGATCGCCCAAATCATCTACACTTTTAATATCATTCGCTACATAAAGAAAATATAAAATGTTAAATATAAGAAAATCTCAAATGTAAATATAAATGTATATCAAACTTCAGTGTAAATAAAATAAGAGAAAAAACGAATTATACATTTATATAATAAATTATAATTTATAAAAATGTATTAATTTATTGTGCACAACAAATAAGATTCAAAAGATACGCGTAAATCAAAAAATATCCAAGGTTGGTTAAATAATAAATAAGATAATAAATAATAAATAAGATAATATTATAGTTACAAAGAAATTTTTATTTGAAAAGAAATAATAAATTAGAATTACCTTGAAAAATATCACAGAGATGAGGCAATTCCCAACTCTTTAAAAGAAAATCCATTTCCTCGAAATGTTTCGAAATATCCAATTTTGAGCAGAATTAGTCATCGCACATAAATGCGTACAATAATCGATGCGTATAATAATCGGGGCGATTACTTCGGAAAATGCTCGAACGGATGTTACGGATGAGATCGTGGCAACAAGACCATCTTTTGTTTCATAAAAAAAAAATAAAAGAAAATAAAGGAAGAAAAGATCGATGACAGAAAATGAATGTTGTTTCGCTAGCGAAACGACGTAACGCACTGAATCGAGCGAAAAGAAGCTGTAGGCATATCAATGGAAAGGAGGGTGAGGGGGACTGAATATTCGTGTAACCGACAACATTCTGTTTTGCTTCAGCTTTTTCTACACAGCTCCGATCTGTGTTTAGAAGCTTCTTTTTGTTCGATTCAGTGCATTGCGTCGTTTCGATAGCGAAACATCATTCACTTTCTGTCGACAATCTTTATACGCATCGATTACAGCAGCAAAAATGTCTGCGATGATTTGCTATTTAACTTTTATTATAGGAGATTTAATTCCTTATGATAATGAAGTTTGGGATTTCTATCTTATATTTTGTGAAATTATTAATATCGTAACAGATACAATTATTTCAAACGTTCAAATAAATTTCCTTAAAGAGTTAATAATTTCTCATCATGAAATGTATATACGATTATTCAATGATCATCTAAAACCCAAATTTCATTTTATGGTACATTATCCAGAAATTATTCGCAGAATGGGACCTCTTAAAAGTTTATCTTCTATTCGATATGAGGATCTTCTATTCTATTCGATGTTTCATAAAATTTCGAAGAATTATGCGTCTACCGTAACATCAAGGAAACATATAACATTAACATTAGCGATCAAATTGCAATTGCATTCTTGTTATAGATTTCTTTGTAAAAGAGGACTTAACGATATAATTGAAATAGGTCCAGAAATAAGATTAGTATCAAGTGATTCGGATGCGCATTTAATAACACTCATTCGTAGGAAGACATTGGCAACTTGTTTCAACTCAATTTTTACGAATGTATCCCATAATCATAGTGCGCAGGCATCGAACTCACACGTACGCTTACACTCACATGTCCGCTCAGCTGTCAGCTGTAGTTGCGTGCTGCTGGCGTACGCAGTCTGGTAACAGCGTGCGAGAGCTAAGACGTTTTAGTAGGGAGAATATACCGGTTCTAATCCACTTTTTCCACGGGTGCGAGAGAGAGGTCTTGTAGAGCGAGAGAGATAGAAAGATATCTGAGGGGCAGGGTGACGGCGGCGCGGGTGAGCAGGGGGGGTAGGTAGGGCGAGGGGAGCCGCTCGCCGTCGGGTGGGTAAACGGAGGGTCGTGACGTCACGCGGCGGCGGGAGGGCGAGGGGGCGGCGGGGCGAGGGGGGAGCGGACGGAGGGTAGGGCGAGGGGGCGGCGGGGGCGAGGGGCAGCGCGGTTCGCGCCGGAGCGTGGAAGAGGGGGGGAGAGCGCGCGTCCCTGGTTACGGCGGGGCGCGCGTCCCTGGTTACGGCGCGTCGGAGCGTCTCTGGACGCGGCGCGCTAGACGCGCGCGATAAGCGGCGATCGCCCCGGCGTCGGGCGCGTCGCGCGAGATAAGGCGTTAATAATAGAGCGGATGTGTTCGACGCTGCCCTGGAAGAGATACGACGTAAGATTTATATAACGTACGATTTTATACAAAATATTATTTTATACGATGTATAATGTACGATGTATATTAGATTTATTACGAGCAGGAGGAGGAGGAGGGAATTCCTCGCGAAGCGAGGAGAGACGAGGGCGACGTAAATCTAGAAGAGAGAGAGATAATAAATTATGCGTACAATTTATTTATTCAGTTATTCGTTTATTTATTACGTCGCGAAGTAACGTGCGTAGATACATGCGTACGTCGAGAATAACGCCGGTACTCGCGATCGTTTCGTCTTACAAATTGTGATAGAGTCCGAACAGCAGAGCGTGCAACTCGCAGTCGATCAGATCGTTCGCGTTGAAGTGCTCGTGCCGGCGAATCGCTTCGGGAATATCGCCGGGGTGGTCGGTCTCCGTCGCGATATCTAGAAAACGCGATAACTTGGCGTCCACGGTCTCGAGTACGCCGGTCAACGACGCGATGATGCGATTGACGCACAGCTCGAGAACGAACAGCGCCTTCACGGTGGATTGCGACAGAGCGATGCGATTCTTCGGCGTCTCGAAGCGCAGAGTCTTCAGATTGTTTATCTTGCCGAATCGAAGCGTCACGGTTCCGACGATTATGGACGTCGGAGGGCGCGCGACAGCCTCGTCCAATTCGTTCTCGAAATACGGCAGTATATCGTTGCGCAGAGCGAGCAGATCCTTCCACATGTCGGGCGTCAGAGATATCTCCTTTCCGTGGCAGTCTCCTAGGACGATGTCGACTCGAGATTCGCGCTTCACGGCTACGGCGATGTCGATATATTTGTACGCCGTCTTGGTCAGAGGATATCGTCTTCCTAGTATTCGAATCGGATGTCTCGCGAAATTGATCTCGCGTTTGAACAGCCAGTTTCTATTCCATCTGTAAAAAAGACGACGTTATTATGGAGAAATAGCCGATCGAGGCGGAGATCGAGAGCGCTCGGGCGAGGCGACTCGCGCGTACTCACTCGTCCTCGGTGTACAGTCGCGCTTTCTTGATCACGGGCGGAGTGTCCGAACGATCGCGGGTGGTATCCTCGTCCTTGGCGGAAGCCGCGTAATCGTCTCGACGATTAGACGGGACGACGAAGGGGCCCGTCATCGGCGGCGCCGACGGAGTCGCGGGCGTCGCGGACGAGTCCCCGAACACTCTGCGATACTCCTGTCCTAGTCCGGCGAACATGATCGGTCTCGCGAACAGAGCTTCGATGTTCGTAGGAAGACACTGCGGTGGCGACGGCGTCGTAGAGAGAGAGATTCGTCGTAGACGTCCGTTGAGAATCGAACGCGCGTTAATCGCGAGTATCGTCGGAAATGTCGCGCGCAACGATCGAGACGCGTCTTATATATGTACGACGCGATCTCGATCGTCGTCGCGAAATCTTTATTCTCGACGCGCGCGTTGATTAATGCAGCGGAAGCGGTTTAGAACAGCGGTTTAGAACAGCATATTAAATGTAATCTTAACGTTAGGTTTCAGGATTTCCTGATCTTAGTCATCGTCGTCGTCGTCGTCGTCGTCGTCGTCGCCGCCGCCGTTGCGCGGTCTTTCGAAGGACGCGTATTCCAGGCGATACAGCTTGGAGACGAGTTCGCTCAATCGATGCAGAATGCCATCGGCTGGGCATTCTATTCCCAGTATGCTAAGATCGAAAGGACCGGCCGAGATTATCGCGTCGAGGAACTCGCTGTACGCGTAATAGTCGCGTTTCTTCAGAAAATAGAGATTACCGTCGACGTGACGGAAGGCGGCCGTTATCGCGGGTGGTATCCCGGAAAACGTGTCCCGCAGAGCGCCGTGCCTCGCGACGGTCATCGCGCAGTCGTTCATCTCGGCTATCTTATCGTCGTTGTATATGACGTAACTGCGCCCGGCGTGCGTGTTTATCGCGGCGTTTATCCTAGCGTCGCGGGGAAATCCGACGTATTCGACGGATCTAGGCCATCCCGCTTTAAGATGAAAATTCGAATCGGCGAGGTAGACGTAGTCGCCGACGAATATCGCGATATCGCCCGACGGTCTCTGATACACGGCCGATACGCGAGTGAGATTGCGGGGGAGGAATTTAAAGTAGTCGGCGAACGAGAAGGGCGCTCCGTAGCGTCTCTCCCTCATATCGACGGGCCACACGTTGCGTTTACGCGCGACGTACAGGCGACGATTCATGATTAGCGCTCCGTCTACGCGCTTCAAGGCGCATAGATCCGTGGTATCGGAGGGAACGAGCGGCGGCTCGACCGTTCTCGCGGTCGTCGGCCGAGCCGCGGCCGCCGTCGTCGTCGTCCTCGAGGCCCGTCGTCGTCGTCGTCGTCGTCGTCGTCGTCGTCGCGGTCGTCGCCGCGGTCGTCGGTCGAGTGACGTCGACGATCCTAGGAGTCGTCGTCTCTCTCGATCCGTAGAGATTTCGCACGTTTACGACGTCCTCTACGCTCAGCCTGAGCGGATATCGCCTTTCCTCCGAAGGCGTGTACGCGTACATGACCGAGTCATCCCTCGTACTGTGAGTCAGACCCAGAGTGTGACCGATCTCGTGCGTCAGCGTCTGAAGGAGATACAGCCTGTCCGACGAGGGCTTGGTCAGCGTGATGTGCCACGGCTCCGTCTCGTCGACGTGCACCTCGGTCACCTGATCGGGCTCTCCCGTCGGAAAGAACGCGTGAGCGACGACCGATCCCGGTCCCGCGAACGGCGACGGGCACGAGCCCCCGTTGTCGCTGTTCTCGTACGCGTGAGCGCCGGATTGATAGGATATCAGTATATCGGGGCGCAGGGAGTCGCGCGAGAACGTCAGAGCGGATTGCTCGGACCACAGAGCGAACGCGCTCTGAGTCGTGCGCAGAGTATCTCTGTTCGCTAGTTTGAAGTTCCACGTGAGATGCGCCCTCGGCCACTTTCTCGTCAACGGGCTGTAGGCGCGAATGTCCGCGACGCCGCATCGCGGCCTGCGCATGACGCGAATCGTTTCCACGGTCAGAACGCCGTTTCCCGGCAGACCGTAGTATTCCTGAAACAACGACAGCGCTTCGCTCAGGGCGGTCGCGTTGTCCAGTAGCGACGACTGCTGATGATTCTCCTCGTTCTCCAGAAAGCCGTAGGTTCGAAGATAACGGGACGCCTCCGCGACGTCATCGTAGGTCGACGTCGCCGCGACGGCCGCGAGCAGGGATATCGTCAGCGCGAGCGATAACGCGACGCGCGTCATGGCTCGTGCGAGACGCGCGGGGGTCGGGACGGTGGCGAACTATCGCGCGCGCGCGCGCGCGTCCTTCGGCGATGCGTCGTCGTGCTCCGCCGGAACGCGAGAAAGCGCGAGTACGAGGGAGAAGGAGGAGGCGAGGGGAGGGGAGGGTACGTAAGGGATAGGAGAGATACTCCGGGACGCGCTAGAGAGGTGATCGAAGAGAAACGACTCTTTATTCGTGGAAAAAAAAATGATTTTTTATTCGTACAAAAAATTATTCCTCATTCTTGACTGTAAATATTAACAAGTACAATCCCTTGCGCGCGGGATATTTGTTCGAACGTAAAATCGAACCATTCGACGCGATATCGAAGCACGCGATACGCGCGTGTATATTAGTCTCGCGATACATGTCGTAGGACAATGAGGTGAATGTAGCGTATCGCTCGAGTAAGAGATGTTCGTATAAATGCCGACAGGGTTATAACGCTTAGTATAACGCTTAGTATAAGGCTTAGTATAACGCTTAACACAATGAAGTAATTACACGGCCGATACGCGAGCTTGCGGGGGGGAACTCGAAGTAGTCGGCGAACCTTACATTACAACATTATATTGGAACGTTCCAACGTTCGAGAGAACGCGGAGGGTCTTCGAGTTCTCCTTCGCTGAATTGTGCGACTGAATCGACGATTACGATGTACCGTTGTTAAAAGTTATACGATTGAAATGTACGACTGTTATATAAAGGGTGGAGGGCCCATTTCGAGCGATCCGCTCGAATATCTCTCAGAGAACGACCTGCGAACCGATATCGAACGACCATTTAAAAATAAAGTAGCTGCAAAAACATGATTCGCGAATGAACGTATCGCGATATCGAGCCTCGCGCTTACCCGTATAACCGCGCCCGAACGAGGCGAAACGATCGCGGGGGAGCATTCGCGAATGAACCGTAAGAACCGTAGGAACCGTGAAAACCGTAAGAACCCTAAGAACCGTAAGAACCATAGGAAGCATAAGAACCGTAAGAACCGTAAGAACCCTAAGAACCGTAAGAACCGTAAGAACCGTAAGAACCATAGGAACCGTAAGAGAACCGTAAATGACCCATAAATACCGCTGTAAGACCGGGTTCCGCGACTCGAGTTAATCGGAGTTTAATACGTCGAACTGGGTCCTGATTGGTACATTCGCTACTTAAACTCGGAGTAACTGGATAAGTATTTACGAGTCGATCGTAAATACCTCCCAACGTCATAATGGTATATATGAATATGGGGGGGGGGATAAAATTACGACTGCAATCACCACGACGACGACGATGACGACAACGACGACGAATCTCTCGCGAAGACGCGGTGAGTCCGATCGACGGAATGAGCTCGGTTCGCGCGAGCGACGATGAGTTTCGACGCGCGCGAAGATCAATCTTAAGGGATAACTTTGCATGCGATAGTAGTCTACTTCAATAATGCACAGTCTTCGACTCCGTCCTTCGACGCCGTCCTTCGACGCCGTCCTTCGACGCCGTCCTTCGACGCCGTCCTTCGACGAGACGTCTGAAATACGTAAAAGCTGCGTATTAATGATAACAATACGTATGGATAGACGCGAAAGGAGAGAACGGCGCGTTATACCAGAAGAGATCGGGGTACCTCGGTTAAAATCCTTCGTCCTCCGTACGGACGGAGCTCGTTTTCTCGAGCGAGCTCGCGTCGCAGTACCATATCTCCACGGGGGAATCGTCGTCGCAGAAATCCTCGGTTTTAAACGCGCGATCCGAGACGAGCGGCTCCATGTCGAACAATCTTCTCAGTCGAAAGATGTCGGCGTAGATATCAGGGGAGCGCCTCTCCCATTCTCTATAGGACGGTCGGTCGCACCATAAGGAGTTTAAGAATCGCCGTTGCTTCAGTCTCGCCTGTCGTATCCAATGTCGGCGACGTATGTTGACGAATCCATAGATCTCAACCTCGTTCTCGAACTGTGAAAAAAATATATACGTAGTATTTTTTCCTCGAAGGAGAGCGAGAGAATAAAGAGACGAACGAGTACTTACGTTCCACGTTACGGCTATATTGAGGATCGCGTCCATGAGATTTCTGATGTACTTTATCTTCCACAGGCACATCCACGGCGTGAACGTGCATTCGCGAAGCATCCTTCGCAATCGCGAGATTTCGTCGCCGCTCATCGTCGTTCGCGTGAAAAAAAAAAAAAAAAAAAAAAAAAAAATAACTCCGAGAACGAATGCTGGATACGTTAGGAACAACACTCGCGATATCGGACGCACTCGACGACGAGATCGCGAGACTCATTCTGAGGAAAAAACGGTCTCTCGGCGCTAATTTATACCTGCGATATCGCTATCGCCGAGTCTTTGTGATTCCGTCGGAATGCTAATGTTAACGCCGTAATCTAAAGCGATATGAACGCGGTAATTTAATTTAATTTAATGAGGCGCGATAAATTCTCGATCGCTCCGGAGGAAGTGCCGGAAAATACGTTCGACCGCGTACGCGCGATACGAGTTTATTCGCTGATTAGCATTATTTTAACGCTATTTTTAATATTATCTTGCATTATTTTAATGTTATCTTAATATTATCTTAATATTATTTTAATATTCGTAGTATTATTATTTTAATATTCTTAGCATTAATATTCGTAGTATTATTATTTTAATATTCTTAGCATTAATATTCGTAGTATTATTATTTTAATATTCTTAGTATTGATATTATTTGAATATTATTTTTTTTTTTTCTTAGTATTAATATTATTTTTTTTTTTTCTTAGTATTAATAGTATCTTTCTAAGTATTAATAATACTTTTAGGCAGGGTGATAAGTCGTCGATAAGAGTACGCGTAAGACTGATGTACGACGCGTCTCCGTTCACATGTCGCGCAATTGATCGCGTCTCTCCAACCACCAGTCGTGCAGTTTGCACACGTTTTCCAAGGCGCAATTCTTCGAGTGATAGCCGCAGCGATAGACGCGAGTGGCGGCTAGCGTTCGAAGGGGTCCGATATCCTCGTAATCCGCGTCGATGGTCTCCATCGTCAGGTCGAGCCGTTCCGCGACCTCTCCCGCGATGTCGGTCAGCCACCTCTTCTTCTCGAGACCCTTGACGTAGATCGTCACCGCGGCGTTCGACGCGAGATCCCTCGACGCGCGATATATCGCGTCGCGAACGATCTGTTTCGCGTGCCTATACTCCACGTGTCCGTCGGTCCAGTGAAATTCGTGATGATTGAGAGTCAGCCAACAGGCCTGCGACTTCTCGCTCTTCGTCAACAGATTCCACGACATCGGCGCGCGAAAGACGTGATGCGTCAGATCTCTGCCGTTCGCGAGTATCGCCATCTCCTTCGTCACGAATCGCTCGTTGACGACGAAACCCTGCAGATCTATGAAGATCGGCGGGGCGATATCGCTCGCGAACGTCGTCGCGGTCATCGTCGCGAGATACTGACGTTTATTCGCGTCCCCCCCCCGATATCTTCGCGGTTTCGAGTTTCCTCTCCCCCCTCCCCTCCCGTTCGACGCGTCGTCTTACAGGATCTTACGCACGACGTTCGTCAACGGATTGTACTCCACCACGCGATCGTGAATGATTAGACAGTACGCCGTGGTGTTAGAAGGAACGTTGTCCTTGCAGTCGAATTCTAGACGAACGTCCACAGTGGCGCTCTTAATA